GTACTTAAAAATATTGTGGTATTATGGTATTTTGAGTACCAAAATTTACAACACAAAAGTAATAGCTCAAAGGAAATTGTTGGTGTACTATTTCATTGATTGAAAGATATTTAAAAAAAAAGAGTAAATTACATTATATAACACTAATCTTTAGTGTTGTCTCATTTATACCACTAAACTTTTAATTTTGTCAATTATAGCACTGAACTTTGATTTTCATTTCAGTTATATCATTGAATCGTTAAATTATTAACGACACAATCACGTGACCAACGACTGCCACCGTAGATACCTCACCAAAACTATATTGTTTTGATCTGGAAGGTCACGATTTAACGGTCCAATGGTATAATTGAAATGAAAACCAAAGTTCAGTTCTATAATTAACAAAATTAAAAGTTCAGTGATATAAACGATACAACATCTAAAGTTCGATAGTATTTTAAGTAGTTAATCGTAAAAAAAGAAGTCCATAATAATAAGAGACCGGAAATGGTCAGTCCATTATTCATATTATCCCGAGGAAATTTTGTCTGCCATTGAAATATTTTGAATGAAAAATAGTAATAAGTTAAAAACGTGAGACCTACCATTTTGTTGGTAATTCTCGTGTCATAGTTTAATTTAAGATTAATTTAATATGATTTTTAAATTTTTAATATTATCTTATTCGACTTAAATAGTTACATAATTTGTAATATTTTCAGTTATATTCGAAAAAATTTATATTATAATAGATTTAGTGTTTATAACTAAAAAGTTGTACGATTTGTTTGAATATATATTACTTTGTACTTATCCCTGATTAATCAAAAAATAATTATACGATTTGTAATAATTTTAGTTGTATCCGAAAACGTTATGAATAAGGTAACATTTTCGATCTTAACCTAAAATATTATCATGTCTAACCTAAAAGATTACGCTTCTGATTAAATTTTCGGTTGTAACCGATTTATACCGATGTTATATTAACAAGTTATATTTTAGAATCTCCTCTTATTAAAATTACTGCAAACATTTTGTGGGAAATCCATTTAATTGCACTCCAACTAAGTTCCAGTATATCAAGATTTTGTTATATGATACATTTAAGGCATAACAAAATATCGCCCAATATTTATCAAAATGGTCATTTTGGCCCTTATTCTTTTTTTTAGTATTTTGGCCTCCAACATTTCAATTTGAGACAAAAAGGTCTCTCTATAGATGAAAATCATTAGTTAAAACATGATTAACGCTCCAAAATAGGAGCTTTTTAATCTAAAATGAAACGTTGAGGGCTAAAATGCTCCAGAAAAAATAGTAAGGGCCAAAGTGATTATTATGTAAAATATTACGGATCTTTTTGCCCTAAAATAAAACATTGTGGGCCAAAATACTCCAAGAAAATAGAATAGGGGCAGAATTATCATTTTTAATAAACATTGGGGGGCTAATTTTGACATTATGCCATACATTTAATGTAGACAAAGAAGTTACATAAATGAGGCTGATAAAACTCACCTGTTTATTTTACTCGCTTTAATTGCCTTCCCACACCTCCTTACGTTAATAATTTGCACTTCCTTCCAACCTTTTTCCTTTTTGTCTCTTTCAACTTCGAATTTTCTGTCACTTTCTTATGCACGTTTTTGCATTGCCTTTGTGCTATGCCCTCTCTTTTTTCTTAATTTCATGTTTGTTGGCATAGATGGAACTACTAGTAGGGGTCCTGGTCACCCGGGATGGACTGAGAGGGCTGATGGGACGATCGTTTCCCTGAAATTTTTAAATTCTTATATAATTTATGTGTTTTCTTCATGGTTATCAAAACCGGACCGGACTGGCCTATTTAACCGGTTGAATCGGGAACCAGTGGCCTGTCCAGTCCGGTCAACTTCTAAAACCAGTTTTGCAATGAACCGGTTTAAAACCAGTAGAACCAGCTGAGAACCGGTAAAATCGGTGTGAACCGACTGAAAACCGACAAAACCAGTGTGAACCGCTGGTTCTCTTTTATTTTTTTTTAAAAAAATTAAACCAAACGACGTCGTTTATTAAACGAGCCAAGTCAAACTCGAGTATTGCTGAGCTCGACTCGAACTCAAAAACTTTAAAAGTAAGTTCAACTCAACTAAAAACTCGCGAGCTAAAAATTATCAAGGTCAACTCGAACTCGAAATATAATATTGAAACTCAAACTCAAAAAGGCTCAAACTAAAAAAAAAATCAGAAGCTCGATTGATGCCCAAAACTCGAGCTCGATTGAAGCGAAATAATAGTTCATTTTGTGCTCACCACAAGGCTCCGTGATTTTGAATGACAAATTATCTCTATTATTTATAGAAGTTAGTTGTGATGCTCTTCTATGTTTCATAGCCATGTGGGATTGTTTTGTTCTCCTATTTTTACTCTTCTATGCTCTTTAGGCGTTTTTCTGTAGTGATGTATATATTAATATTGATTTGAAAATTATATAATTTTTTAAAAAATATTATTTTATATAAACCGGTTCAACCCGGTTGAACCAGTACCTTCACCGGTTTAAGGTCCGGTCCAGTTTTAAAAACATTAGTTTTCTTTGTATTTTTCATTGATAATGCGTTTTTGTTGCCTTAAAATTTTATAAATCCGCTCCCCTAATTTAAAATCGCGCGTTTGTTCCTACTAGTCACCTCAATCTTGGTAGCTTTCCACACCATCTAATGCGTGAACACCAAAACTACTATTTCTAATTCTTTGTATCACTTTTATGTTATAGCAAAAATGTCAAGAGATTCGAGCATGACGTATGGGGAGTTAATCGGAGATTGTGGTTGTAGATATTACTGATTTAAAGATAGAGGGTTGAAGTTGGAAAAAATATTTAAAATTAAGATCGAATCGATATAATATATACATGATAAGGTCTAAATGTGTTATTGTATCAACTTAAAAAAATTATAGTATCATTTTCATTAAGATTTAACGACGGATGATCAATATTTTAAATTTTAAAAACATTGGTGATAAAATTTAAATTTTTTTTTAAATTGGATGACCAAAATAGAAGCAAACCTTAGAGTTGAAGATTACACAATCTATTATGACTGACATCGTCATTTATGATGTAATTGGAAACAAAACATTCGTCTTTCTCTTCTCTTTCTTCGTCACAGTTTGATATTTCTCGAAATTCCCTCGAAATCGATAAAAATCAACTTAAAGTTTCAACGTTATATTGATTTTGTTTACAATATTGGATGTAAAATCATCATGAAATCAAGATATAATATTTCCCCCTCCTTCGACCTCCTCACCGATCAAATTTGAAAGATAATACTTTGGCGTCAATGAATCAAAAGGGTTCAAAAATTTTGGTTTGGGAGAAAAGTTTCATGGGAATTTTGCATGAATTTACTTAATGATCGAGTGACCAAGAAAATGAAATTAAAAAATTGAGTGGTAAAAAAAAAATGAATGACCAAAACATAAATGTAATAAAAGTTGAACGACTAAATAGGTATGTCTGATTGAAGAGTTTTAAGATGTTTTAGAGAGATAATTGATAATCAATCATGTTGTAAGAAGACATCTCGATCTAAAAATTCTTAGATTCCATCCGAAAATCGGCCCAACTCAGATAATGTTCCATTTCGAAGATATTGAGACATTGGGGAGTTAAAATTTTGTCCAATATTCCCTTTGGTTGGTGAAGATTGAAGTGATATGGTGAGGATGGCACCAAAATAAATTAAAATTAGATACCAAAACATGACAAAAGTAATAATTTAGATATTAAACGTATAATTTACCCTAATTATAATATCTATGCTCCAATATCAACTTAAATACTTAATCCATGAAGAAGAATCTTTATCAACGATTTTTTTATTATAATTATTTAAATATTTATAATGAAATTTTATTTTAGCTATAATACTAAAATTTAAATATTATTTAAGAGGTTTAACGTTTAATTATATCATATGAATCAATAATTAATAAAAAAAAATGTTAATAATTGGAGTTGGTTAAAAAATATATTTTCATGTGAAGGTATATATATATGTGTGTGTGGGGGGGGTAAACTACAAATTTATTACTTAAACTATTAATTTTGGTTTTATTAGTACCTAAACTTTCATTTTTTTCAAACCATACCTAATGTTCAGTTTTCATTTCATTTTAGTATATTTCGTTAAAAACTTAACACGTTCAGTACCTAAACTATCGATTTTGGTCCGTTTAATACCTAAATTTTCAATTTTTATAAAACTTAACGTTAAATTTTGAATGGTGTACTAAAATGAAATAAAAACTAAAATTTTTAACGACAGGTACTAAAATGAAACAAAAACAAAACTTTAGATGTGGTTTTAAAAAAAATAAAAATTTAAATATTAAAATAAACTAAAACTAATAGTTTAGATACTAAACTCGTAATTTACCCTATTTATATATATCGAATTTCAATGGGCTTAAAGCCGCCCAATTTAAGTCCAAAAACTGCCACCCAACTTAGGATTCAGTTCACATCGAAATGGGCCAAATAGGGCACCCGGTTTTTCATTTAACTTATTAAAATATCTGGTTTTTTATTTTGCAGAATACGGAAAATACTACGGTGATGTTGGAACTCGTCACGTCGAAGTAACGAGTTTGTCCAAATAATTTTTTTATTCAAATTCGTCACCTCGAGATGACAAGTTCTAATAAAATATAATTTTTAATTAAATTTTATCACATAGGGGTAAAAGTTTGGAAAAAAATTATTTTTTATTAAAATTTGTCACCTCAATGTGACAAATTCGTCATCTCAATGTGACAAATTCGTACTATATAAAATATCGTAGATCCAAAATTAAAAGTCTAATAGTCAACTTGTAATAATGAAAAGACTTAGCAAAATAATGTCCTATAGTCGGATGACCATTTCTGAGCTTTACCCTAATTTTAAATACTTATTTGACTAAAAAAATGAAACATCTATTTGATTTTACTTTCCAAAAATAATAATAGATGGGCTGAATCTAACTGAAAAACAATTCAAGGTAGGTCCTTACCTGTTAAGGTAACACCCAGCAGAGGATTGCATCATTTAGGTTTAACAAAGAACAATTGCACATGCTTTAGACCCACACCTGTATACATACACCAACCACCAGACATCCGAGATACCGGTCGAAATCTTTCGATCCATAGCTTTCTGGTCATATACAGGAAGAAAAAAATCGAGATATCGATCGAAATCTTTCGATCGAGTAATATCCGAACGGGACACTAACAGAGGGTTGGTTCAGAAGAGCTGGAAAGATGAAATGCTTGCCTGTTTAGGCAAGCTTTGAACCAATGCAGCCAGATTCTTCAACCTAAAGCACAATCATAAATCATCAAATTCATCATCATTGTTCACCTAACTACCAAAACAATCAATGCTTATTATCATAATCTTTTGCTACTTTGGGGAGCTAAACCCCAAATGGTTCATTGCGTACCGTTTGACGGTAACTAAACTCGGAACAAATACAGCCGGATTCTTGAACTTGAATTGAAACACAACCAAAAGAATTATCATCATCATTGTGCATCTAACTACCAACTCAATCAATGGTTGTTGTTATCATCTTTTACACTTTAGGGAGGTGTTATGGGAAAAGCTTAACTAACCCCAAATGGTTCATTGTGCATCCAATGCTTGAACTTTGTAAGTTAAGCTGAAAAAAGGAAGTCTATGCAAAGTTGAAAAGAACTCGAGAAAGTTGCGAAAACAGAGCCATAAGATCACACATAGCTATGAAATCATTGAATTTCGGGCAATAAAACCGAATGCCAGACTAATTAGGTCATCAAAACCTAAGATTATGTCTCTACAACATGAACAATTGCACTAAACATATAATGTAGACTAGCTCTAAGCAAATAGACATCCAATATGAACAAAGGAAGAACACAACTATGATACATACAGTTCGATAAGGCCTCGTTTTGAAGATAACCAGTCATTGCTATGGCCTGGCGAAAACGCCCCAAATCTTACCCTTCCCGAGACTCTCCAATAGCTTCTTAGCCCCTTCAACATTCATCTCAACAAGTTTCTGCAGGTACACACGAGCGCCAGCAGCAACCATTTGCTTCCTACGTTTCTTGGAATGTACAAGTTCAGACAAGAGCAAAACAGGGTACTTTTTATCAAGATTTTGAATCGAAGGATCCAATAACATCACAGCGCTTACTATCCCTCTATCGTCCTTTCTGAAAAACTTCTTGTTACCGGCGTATAACATGAGCCTCGACAATGCCATCGCACCACCTTCTTTTTCTTCAACAGCTTTCCCATCTAGCATTTTAATCAATGGCGCAATACATCCACATTCACCCAATTCTTTCCTCGTTTTCGAGGAAAATCCGAGCTCGAAAGCGGCTTTAGCTGCCGCGATTCTTACCCCGGATGCCCCACCGTTCAAAGCAGCCACGAGACGGGCGATGAAACCACCGGCAACTAGAGATTCGGCAATGGGGTGAACGGATGATAAATGCCTAATGAATTCAAGAGCAACTTCAAGGCCTTTCGGATTCAGAGATGAATCCATAAAATTCTTCAAACATTTAATCCCACCTTCCTTTACGATCAATAGCTTCAAATTCGAATCACTGGAAACCAAATTACATAAACAGCCAATGGAATTCTCTTGTGCTAAAGCAGTCCCGGAAGAAACAAGGCCGATCAAAACAAAAACCCCGTTTTCTTCGATAATATTCTCTTTAATTTCATTGAAAGAAGTCAAGTTCCTCAAAACGCCGGCGGCGAAAGCTTGAGAACCGGGGGTTCCGGCTTGACAAATCTCTAAAAGAGACGAAATCCCACCTCTGGAACCGATCGCTCGAGCGTTCTCTTTCGAAAACGTCAAGGCTTGTAAAGCGATGCAGGCTTTCTCCTTCGCGAAACCGCTGCCGGATTCGAGGACTCGGAGGAGATGATTCAAAAGCAACAACCCTTCGGCGATCAAAACGTGTTTGCTGGACTCCACCGTCGATACCCTCGAAATGGCGGCCACGGTCTTCTCCTTCGTTTCAAAACAGCTCGAATCAAGTAACCGCATGAGAACGGGAACCACTCCCTGCGCCACGGCAATCATCACGTTCTTATCGTCCTCTTGGAGTAAACCCAAGAGCGAGTCTATAGCTGAGTTCTTCGATTCGGCCGTTCCGATTTGTAACCGAGTTATCAAGTTCCTCGACTCAACTCGCACCGCTTCTTTCTTCGAGGAAGAAGTCGATACAGCACCGTCTTGAAGAACTCCACTACGAATCAAAATCTCAGAGTCGGAGATGTGCCGGTTCAACTTAGCCAAAACGGCGTCGAGGTCGCTCTGGGTCTTGAGCTTTCCTTCTGTCAGACCGGCGGGTTGACATTTCTCAGAAAGTGAGATGGCGTCGTTTAAGGTTTGGGTTATCGAACGAAGCAGGTCAACGGCGAGGGGAGTGGAAGAAGAAGAAGGGAAATCGGAGAGGTCAACGAGTTGATCCTGGAGACTAGAAAGCTTGGATTTGATCAAACTCCATTTACCTTTGAAACTGTCGATGTTCTTAATTTGATCCGAAAGCGAAACCAAAAGACGCTTCGAAATGGAAATTGGGTCGTCTTCTTCAGGTACTTTCATGGCGGCTGAGACCAGCTTTCTATCTTTTTCTCAGGTTTGATGATTAGAAAGTTTGTGCAGAACGAAAAGGGCCAAAAGTGAGTATAAATTAGAGAGAGAATTTAGGGTTGAGAGTCTTCGATCCTAGAGAGGGAGAGGGAGAGGGAGAGGGAGAGGTTTACAATGGACGGAGCAGCGGCAAGTGAACTGGCTTTGCCTGGGGATATACTTTGAGAGACGTGATACTTTGTTTGAGTAGGACACGCAACTCAAGAGCGTGAAGTCACGTGCATTTTGACTTTAACATTTCTTACTTCACGCGAAGATTTATTTAGGATAATTATAAATTTGGTAACTGAATTTTATTATCTTTCCTATTTCACTCAATATATTTTATTTTTTAAAATTTTTTCATTGAACTTAATAGATTGAGTTTTTTATCACTAAGTCATTTAACGGAAACGAGACTTTTTATTTTTAATGGGTAAATTATAAATTTAATAACTAAACTTAACTCTCTCATATTTCACTCTCCAAACTTTTAATTTTTTTAATTTAATCACTAAATTTTATGCATTGGATTTTTTGGTAAAAAACCACATCATAACCGTTTGTGAGAAAATGACTGAGTGATTAAAAAGTTTAATGTATTAAGTTCAGCGAGGACATTAAAAAGATTTAAAGTATAATGAGTGGAATATGAGGGATAATAAAATTCAATTATCAAATTTGTACTTTACCATTTATTTATTTTTACTCAAATATCACTATAAAAACTTATTTTTAAAAAAAATTAACACTCATTTTCAAATAATTTATAAGATAATAGTGTTTGTTAATCGATTGTGTCATGTAATATAAAATGTGTCCTATCAACCATCTTTTTAAAATTACATTTGACAATAAGAACTTTTATCTATGATAAAATATGAGATTGGTCATTTTCTTTTAATTATTAAATTTTAAAAATTAAATTTTAGTCATTTACGTTATTAATTTATTAAATTTTGATAACTTATATTATCAATTATTATATTTTAGTCATTATTTGTTAACTATCGTTAATTTTGATGATGTGATATGTTAGTTAAAATAGATTAATTTTTAGTTTTACTTTTGAACTTTAAATATAATACTAGTTAGACCTTAAACTTTAATTGTGTTATTGTTGATCCTTAAACTTTAAATAAAATATCAACTTGATCTCTAAATTTTATAAAAAAAAAATTCTCGTCGTCGTCACCATGTACCATCGTCATTGACGATCACTATGGGTCGACATTAGCCACCATTATTGTCGACTGATAGACTTAAAAATTTACATTTCACTCCTCTTTAGATTCGAGTATTAATTTCATCGAAGTACTCTAATTTTATCTATACGTAATTGACTTCCAAACGTACTCTTGAAAAAAAATATAATATAAATATCTATATTATAATTAAACCTTTTAAATATTATATAAAAAATTTATCAGTGAACAAAATTGGAAAGTAAGAAATAAAATGGAGCGTGAAACACACGTGAAATAAATGGGCGAAGGGTGTTGAGAAATTGAACAGAAAACAGCCAAAGCGTGAAACACCAACCAGAGGGCTGCCACAGACAGAAAGTTATAAAACTTACGAATATTGTTTATTTAGGTATTTTGATAGTAAACGGTGTTAATTTTCATGTCAAGTAATACATGTCGCACTCTGGTAAATTTAAATTTTTTATTAGAAATTAAAAAAATTAAAAATATATTTTTTAAAAAAAGAAAACACAAATTTTAAAATAAACTTAAAACTTTGAAAATCTTCATTTTAATCTCTAAACCTATGCCGACAGTCGATGAAGCTCCACCTGACCTCCCTCCCCCGATAACCAAAACCCCTATGAAATTGTGACTGATCGACGATGAATCGACGTTTTATACTCTGTGAACCCTAGGTTGAAAATCGTAATCCCACGTGATTTCGACGATCAATCGGCGACAACTAAGACGGTGTATGACTAGGAGGATGTCAGGGGCTACATCGATGGCAGTAGGGATGAGCGTTAGATCGAACCGAGTCGAGTCAAAAAAAATTTGAGTTATTCGAGTTGACGAGTCATATTTTACAATTCGAACTTGATTTGAAATTTTTTTCTAGTCGAGTCGATTTTTGAGTTTCTGTTTAAATTTAATTGTAAATATTTATAATATTATAATATTATTTGATTCCAATTTAAGTGATTTTCTATAACCATATATACAATAAAAATATATTTCTTCATTTTTTTTCATATGTAATATACATATATCATACAAAGTCCAAAGACTCGAGTCAAACTTGAAAATAAATCTACTAATTACTAAAAATTTCGAGTTATTCGAGTTGCATTTTACGACTCGATTTGAATTTGAATTTTTTTCGAGTTGAATCGAGTTTATGAAATTACAACTTGAACTCAATTCGAGTTGAATCGAGTCGAAAAATTCAGTTTTTCGAATCGATTCGAGTTTTGCTCACCCCTAAATGACCATTGTTGTGGCCGAAAAGGGAGGCGACTGCCTGTTAAAATTAGGGTTTGGGGGTTTAAGGGGTTTGGGGCTATTTTACAATAAAAACAAACAAATTATGGGGTCCATTTTTAACGACTTAGATTCTTTTAATTAATTTCCGAGATCTTAGTTTTGTAATTCAAAAAGGTATAATGATAATTTAGTCCTTAATATTTTCATATTTTGTTACATTGACCTTTATCATTCTTATAATTTACATATTTTTTTTACTTTTTATCATTGCTTATTTCTCTTACAAAAATAATAATGTATTCAGACTCTGGGTTTATGTAAATTTATAAAATGGTAAAATGTTCTTCCACTGGAGTGTTGAGATATACAGAAGTACGAAAATAACTCTGTCCAACCTAAAAATTGTTCGCTTAATATTCATATAGACAGGGACGACTCCGCCCGATTTTAAATCAACTATCGGCACGAGCCTTCGAAATAGAAAATCGGACCATCTATTATGCTCTCTAGATCAAATCCATGGTAGTTACATGGAGAGGCATCCATGTTAGAGCTCGATAAGGAGTGCATTCTTCCACGAGTCTCGAGTCATACCACTTTAGGACATTTCCTCGAACAAGGAGAAAGTTGTTATACCTCCTCCGCAATCAGGTCACATTAAATTACATCTTTGGAGTTCCTTAAAACCTCCAGAGTTTTATGTCCTTCGACCAGTTATAACCTCATGATACGACCATCGACATGCCCACGTGATATACTAAGAACTGAGTCTACTTAAGTTGCCCATCTACAGATAACCGTTACGATCTTATGTTTGACACCAACACTAAAGGTCACATCTCTCGGTCAAGACCAAAAGAAAGATTTAAAACACTATACACCAATTTAACCTTGTGGTCTATAGTCCAAGATTCAATCGACATTGAATCCTTGGGGATCTTTTTCTTATTTCAATCGCAATATAAGTTAAATACAATATTTTATCATGATATAAAAAAATCTTTCGCTTCACCCAATCTACAGGTTCAATCCCCATCAATAATATAAAAAAAAAAATCTTGGGTAAACTATGCAATTAATACCCAAACTATCAGATTTAGTCCGTTTTAATACATAAACTTTCAATTTTTTCAAAATAATACCTAACGTTTAGTTTTCATTTTATTTAAGCACCCGCCGTTAAAAAATTAACACTTTTAGTACATAAACTATCAGTTTTGATCCGTTTTAGTACCTAAACTTTCAATCTTTTCAAAACTTAACGTTAAATTCTGAACGCTGATACTAAAATGAAACAAAAATTGAAGCTTTTAATGGTGGGATACTAAAATGATACAAAAAAAATGAACTTTAGATATGGTTTTGAAAAAAATGAAAATTTAAATACTAAAATGAACTAAAATTGATAGTTTAGATACTAAATACGTAATTTACCCAAAAATCTTTTGCTTCACCCAATCATCAGGTTCAATCCCATCACAAGCTCCTTTCATGTTCTCTTAATTTCCTGTTGTTGGGATATCATATCAATTAACAGCTCAATAACTAAAATTATTATTATTTTTCTTTAACACCAATTACTTTAATTAAGTACAAGTTAATGACAAAAAAAGAGAGGATAACTTAGATTCCAAACCAAACATCAAGTCAATGTCTAGTAATCCACATTCAACTAGGGATGGGCATGAGACTCAAACTCGACCTGATCGGGTCATTTATTTTAAAAAAAAATCGGGTTCGGATCGAGTTTTTTAAATGTGCTGTTCGGGTCGGGTCGGTTTTGGATTTAGGATGAAAAATACCCAACCCGAAAAATATATATAATTTTACCTTATATATTTATGAATAATTACAATAATACCCCTCTATATATTATTATTTTTCAATTAATTCAATGTTTTTATTGAATAAAAATAATATTTTATTATTATTTCGGGTCAGGTCGGGTTTTGAAGTTATATATCGAGTCGGGTTAAACCTAGTTTTGATCGGGTCGGATCGGATCTCGGGTGGATGATTCCTTGTTCTCGGGTCGGGTTGACCAAAAACCCGACCCAACCCAACACATGCCCATCCAATGATTCAACCCTTCACATGCATGAAATAATGATGGGAATTTAATCCCAATCCAGTCAAGTCAACTACAACATGAATAGTCAAACAAAGCAACTAAATTGCAGTTGAGACAAGGTATAAATGAAGAAACTAGGAATGCCTCATTTATTAAACCAACATAAGTCAGCTTATCATTAATGGCTCACTAACAAATTTATAGCAAATTTCATTGCAAACTTATGCACACCATAAGAAAAGGAACTTCTCTTCCTTACGTGCATGTGAATCAAGGCAAGGGAAATGTTCATCTTTGGCCTCCTCTCTCCTTTGTTCTGATGATAAGTGCAGGGATTAAGATTTGGCCGGACCAAACATACTCCGTTCATCGGTTCTGATTCGTAATTAATCAGACTTATATTGCTTTGCTTTGCCATGCCAAGCCAGGCACCAGTTTTAACACTGTCCTCACCAAGATGGAGGTTTTATAGGCAATTTCCTGTCAGCATATAATCCTCCTACATTATCTAGACTTGCCATTTTCTTAATATACTCGCATCCGACACATATTCGAACATTAATATGAGATTAAGATCCTCAAAATATATATAATCTAAGAAAACTTGAGCATACGTATGACGGACACATACCCATATCCGACATGAACAGCTAGCTGTTAAGAAGATATGGAAGATCCTAAAAGTAACATGATGAGAAAAGGAATCATTCATGCATATGTCCCCCTAAAACAGATCCAACAAAATGGCTTTGGCTTCAAGTAAAGGTCAAACAAATTAACATATCTGCTTCAAGAGGAAACGGCTCCTTGAATACATAAACTTCGATAACCAGAGCAAAGAAACATTTATCGAGTCATTGCTTCATTACAGAACTATCAACCTTCGGTATGAATACGCTACAGTAATCCCAACTAGGGTTGTCAAGGGCACAACACGCAGTCTAAGCACTAAACTCTAAAGAGTAGAAGAGTGGTCCATTCATCTACATATGATCTTTTTTGTTGATCAATATGCCTGATTTCCATATGGTCCACGTATAATGCTGAGTACTCTTATACTCAAATCAACATCCCTTTCTTACTAATAGAAAAAGGGAAACATAAGAGAACTTAATCGAGCAGGCTCTTTTATGCATATTATATTTCAAACCAAATACACTTTTCCTGCCCGAAAGTGTCCGAGACGCTTTTGCCAAATGCTTGGGCACATGCCGAGATTAGGATGACACTGATCACGGCAGCTCGTACTTCTCTAATATGTAATCGTAAAGAGGAAAAAAAACCATTTAATGAGAAAACGACAAGAGTATGATCTGAAATTGCTTTACTTTGTCAAGCACTTTCCTTTAACCAAACTAGAAGAAGCTAATGTTTTCTCAGTGTTCTCTAATAAAAATTCTCAGCAATTGTTAGAATTTAACTTGACAAAAGCATCTAAAACTAACCAAAAACCTACTTTTACTACACCAAAAAGAGGGTTAACATGAAGAAAGCTAATAAAAGCTTAAACTTACATTGCAATGGCGAATAAATATGTCCTTGCAAACCCCACTTTCCCCCAATAACCATTACTGGAAAACGTCATAAAAACCCTTTGCTAAGCTTCTGAATGGCACAAAACAATTTCCTCCTAGAACCAACAGCATTGATCCCCATATCCTTCAAATCTTCCAATGTCAGCAACGGCAAAACCTCATCATCCACTTCATGTATCTCGAAAAGACGGGCGTACCTTCCTAAACCCAAACCATTCAGCCATATTGTAACCCCATCATCCAAGGGTCCAGACA